ACTTTGGACTTATTGTCCGGAGGAGACAATCATTGGAGAAAGACGTCATGCTGGGTAAGGTGGAGGGTCAGAGAAAAAGAGGAAGACCCCTAATGAGATGGATTGGCCAGGTGGCATCACTGATGGACTCAAGTGTGGCAGCGATAGTGAGTTTGGCCCAGGATCGGACATTGTTTCATTCTGCTGTGCATGGGGTTGCTATGAGTTGGTTCCAACTCTATGGCACCTGACAACAATAAAGAAGGGATCAATACCTTCTAAATGAACTTATTTTTAAATCCAATTAGCTTTAAGTTTTATGGGGGTAAGGCAGAGGCTCTCTCTCTCTTTCCATTTTGCAAGCATATATCAGAAAGGAGCCCTAGTAGCACAATAGTTAAGCACTTGGCTGCTAAGCTTTCAGTTGGTAGTATGCACCCAGCCAGTGGCTCCATGGGAGAGAAATGGGGCAAGCCACTCCTAGAGCACAGCCTAGAAAATGCTACAGAGCAGTTCCACTTTGTCACACAGGGTCGCTATAATTCAAGATGGATGCGGTGGCATCTAACCAGAACAGCATATCTCAAAAGGAGATAAGTGAGTCATCGAATGTCAAAATCCATATCTTAAGCATGCAATGAGTGTGAGTCACACCATTTTCATGCATTGACTTCCTGAATCCAACATTAAGATTACTGTCTTTGCAATGGGAGCTGCCTGGTCACGACACGTCTTAACTCATCCCTGAGGATTCCATGAAGACAATGAAATAACAGGTTATCAGGCACTCCAAGTTCTTGAATAAGTAATATGCAGAGGGGCATGGCAGGGAAACATGACTGAGAACCCTAGACTACAGCCCCTGGTCATGTGAGCCTGAGCAAAGAGCCCAATGTTCCTCAGCCCCACTCTCCTTCACCCACAAACTGATCCCAATAATAATATCTGATTAAAGATTGAATTGTGTCCCTCTAAAAGATCAGGTGAAGTGTTAGCTTCTCTACATGTGAATGGAATCTTGTTTAGAAATAAGGTCATTCATTAATTAAAGACGCTCTCACTTATGTTAATAAGGTCATACTGGAGTTGTTGTTGTTGTTATGTGCCGTGGTGTTGGTTCCAACTCATAGCGACCCTGTACAGAGTTTCTAAGGCTGTAAATCTTTACAGGAGCAGAAAGCCTCGTCTTTCTCCCGCGGAACAGCTGGTTGTTTCGAACTGCTGACCTTGTGGTTTGCAGCCCGATTTGTAAGCACTACGCTATGTCTAATAAAACTGGAGAAGGGACACAGAGACAGAATGACACTTAGGGAAAGACACTATGGGAGAAAACATCTACCTACTGACCAAGGAAGACCAAACACTTCCCGGAGCCACTGGAAGTGGCAGAGAGGTATGGAACAGATCCTCCCTTAGAGCCCTTGGAAGAAGTCAATAGGACCGACACCTTAATTTGGTCTCCTAGCCTCCAGACCTGTGAAATAATGCATCTTTGTTCTTAAAAAACACCTAGTAGTATTTCTTCTAATAGCAGTTCCTACATTTTTTTTTTTTTTTTTACAACACTTCTTCAAGGGCTGTTGTGAGTATCCGAAGGGACAACATCAATTTAGCTCAGCATCTGGTATAGGACAAATACTTAAGAATGTTGGAGTCACAGGGTCTGTGGTGAAAAGAGCTCAGCAAGTTTGTGGGAGAAGCCTCCAACACAGGCAGGAGGGTGGAGCAAGCCACTGTGAGGGGAGAAAGGGTCAATCAGACCTGTTGTGATGGACATGCTGGATCACTAGCGAGAAGATGGACAAGTCTGTACAAGGTTCCAGAACCTCCTGGGAGAAAAGAACTGTTCTCCAGTGTCATTGGTATCAGGCTGGTGGATTGGGTGCTCTTGAGTGAGAACTCACCCGGAGAGGAAGGAAAACAGATTGGTGACCTTACTCCCCACCATAAACCAGGGGCTCTGGCAGGGGCAGGTTCTGAAGGAGATGGAAGCCCATAGACCAGCTATGTTGACACAAAGCTGAGCTTTAGCCAAGTGGCTGAATTTGAAATGACAAAGAGCTGTAAGTCATCCTGAGCCAGGGTAGGAGTCCCAGCAAACAAGACTTAAGCACTTGGGGGTAGAAGAATCATCAGCTAAAAGATCCCAAAAGAAAAACACAGAGCTTCCCATTAATCAGGAAAGGCACTGATGTGACTATATTATATGGAAAAAAGGAGGGTACAGATTTCATTAGCATTTATTGGTAACTATTATTAACATTATTAATTCTATTATTATAACAATTAGATCATGTTTGTTTTACTACTAGATCTTTGTAGGATGAAATAACATAGCTTCCAAAGTCCCACAGCACAAAAATTGCTCATCTGTTATAAGTCTTTAACTTCTGAACAAACCTTGGTGGTGGTGGTGGTGGGTGGGAGGTTCCTCTTTGTGAATTCTTATGTATTTAGTTGGAGTCCTTGTGTGGCGCTGTGGGATAAAGCAGTGGACCACAAGGTAGGTTTAAACCACAGGCCGTCAATTCAAACTCAGCAGCTGTTTCTCTGAAACCCTATGTGCTGGAATCAACTTGGTGGTACTTAAGACCACTGTGTATTTAGTTAACATAGAGGAAGAAGGAGGTAAGAGGAAAAGAAATCCCCTAGTGTGTTGATGGCGGTCTTTTAACCAAGGGATGTTCACAATTTTCCTTTGTTTCATATTTCCATTCTGAGAAAGCCTGAATTATCACTTTTTGCCAAAACACGTGGAACCAGACTGATGGCCCACAATAGACTCAACCAATTGTGTACTTTGAGCAGCTGATACACATCTCATGATTGGGACACTGAATGTTATGGGGAGACATTGGAAAGGAGTGTTGTGTGTGGCCCCATGCCAGCTCCCTGGGTTCAGAGTCATGTTTCCAGACCACTGACCTCCATCCTCTGTGGCCCCCCATCCTGACGTCCAGCACATTTTCCCATCAGGAAAATTCTCCTCCGAGTTGGGCAGACAAACTGGTTGGACCATCTCTGTTTTAAGGGAAAACAACTCAGTTGAAAGAGGAGTCTGAGAAATCTTAATGCCATCTGTGTTTATGTGTCTAAGAAACACCCGGTGAGCTTCCAAAGAAAAGTCAAGTGCTGGGAATATTGACAACTATCAGTCAGAAGAAGGACTTCATTAGGGCCCTGAAGACTAAAGTAGTCCTATTGCTGCTACTGGTGGTTGTTATTTGCCATTTAGTCACCTCTGACTCATGGGTCTTTCTGTATAACAGAATGAAGCATTGCATGACCCTGCACCATCCTCACAAGGATTGTTATGTTTCAGCCCACTCTTGTGACTATTGTGTCAAACCATCTCATTTTTGCTGACCCACCATCTCACTAAGTATGCTATCTGCAAAGTTGGCTGTGCAAACCCACCAGTCACTCCCTGGAAACCCTGTACAGGGTCACTATGAGTTGGAACCAACTCAACAGCACTTAACAACACCTGTGGTACAGGTTGTGTACACTCAGAAGGAAACCAACAAGTCAGTTGCCATCTAGTTGATTACAACTCAACAGTGAGCCCATGTATGCTAGAGTAGAACTGTGCCCCATAGGCGTTTCAATTGCTGACCTTTTGGAAGTCAACCACCAGGTCTTTCTTCTAAGGTGTTTCTGAGTAATCTCAAACCTCCAACCTTTCAGTTAGCAATCAAGCACATTAACTGTCTGTACCAATCAAGGATTCCAAAGGTAGACCTGAATTTATTTAGGAGTAGGGATCAAAGTGGTTCAAATTCATCAGCTGCTCCTCGGAAACCCTATACAGGGTCACTATGGGTCCGAATTGACTCAACGCCACTTAACAACAACAATAAGTGCTCATAATGGATCTGGTGTGGCACTGTAGGATAAGCAGTGGACTGCTAACTGCAAATTTGGTTGTTTAAACCCACTAGTCACTCCTTGGACACCCTATATAGGGTTGCTATGATATAGAACCGACTTGATGACACTTAACAGCAACAGAGTTCATAAATGCTTTGTTTATATCTATTAAATGTTAGATCATCTATCTTGGCTCATCTGGTATTTTTGTAATCTCTATAGGGCAGCACTTGAGGTTTCTCAAGGGAGAAACAGTGCTTTGGGGAACCTGCTGACCTTGGCATCAGGTTTAGACAGAATTTTCTGACTAGTACCAGGTTGCTGAAGGCTTTCATTCTCTTTTATCTTGTAAAGACATGGCTGACGGGGAGGACCTGCCACAACAAGCTGACTAGTCTCAAAAAATGCTCTCGTTCTCCACTGAGATGGAGACTCCTCTCGTCTACCCAGAAACCCTGGACAGCTGATGGTACAGGCAGGGGCAAAGAAAATCCTGTCATAAGTCCCCAGCCCAAGGTGCTTTGTACCTGAAGGTTAGAGACTCCCCTTTCCTACCTGAAACACCAGGTGGTCTGGCCTGGGGAAGCCTCTCCCCACTCCAGGTGGTACCAGCAAGGACCAACAGGAGCCCCGGTGGCATCAGACAAATGAAGAAGAGTACCACAAAGACTCTGAAAGTAAATTGTCATTGGATTCACAGTCCACAAAAGTGGGTCAGGACCTACACACTCATGCTAAACCGAGTCACTGCCTGCTAAATTTGGAGGTTTACATAGGACACCGAACCTCCAATGTAATAGGCAAAATGTCCAGAATACAAAAGAAAATCGTCTGTCATACCCAGACCCAGGAAAATCACAACATGAATGAAAAAAGATAATCAACTTACACCCATGTCAAGAGGAAATCAGAGGCTGGAATTATCTGACAAGGCAAGTAAATCAGCCTTCATTAAAAAAATGCCTCAACAGACCATTAAAATTTCTCTTCAAGCAAAAGAAAAGAAAGACACAGAGCAAGAAGGAAACTCGGTCTTACCATTGAATGTGAGTGGCCCAGCCAGCTTCATGAGAGCGATGTCGTTGCCTAACCTCTTGGGCTTGTACTTGCTGTGGTAGATGATTTTCTCTACCAAATGGGATGGGGCTGGACTGTCCAGCAGGGACACTAGACCCACTTGGATGGTCCATGACTTGGGCAGGTATAGGCTGAAATGAGGAGATCAAAATTTGAAGCGCAGGGAAAACTTGACCACTGAACCCATTGGTCTCAGCTGTCCTAAGAGCTGGCTGGAGAAGAGATCAGGCAAGAAAGAGCCCTGTTGCTCTAGCTGGATATGCTCAGTGCTGTGGGTTGAATTGTGCGCTCCTAAAGGGTAAGTTAAGGAGCTCTGGTAGCGTAGTGGTTACAAATCGGGCTGCGAACCGCAAGGTCAACAGTTCGAAACTACCATCTGCTGCGCAGGAGAAAGATGAGGCTTTCTGCTCCCATAAAGATTTACAGCCTTGGAAACCCTGTACAGGATCACTATGAGTCAGAACCGACTCCACAACACTTAACAACAAAGGGTAAGTTAAGGAGCTCTGGTGGCGTAGTGGTTATGAATTGGGCTGCGAACCACAAGGTCAGCTGTTCGAAACTACCAGCTGCTCTGCGGGAGAAAGATGAGGCTTTCTGCTCCCATCAAGATTTATAGCCTCGGAAACCCTGTTCAGGGTCGCTATGGGTCGGAACCAACTCGATGGCACTTAACAACAACAACAAAGGTTAAGTTGGAGTCCTGTTGTGGCGCTGTGGGTTAATGAGCCAGACTGCAAAGTTGTTTGAACTGCAAGGTTGGTAGTTCAAGCTCACCAGCTGCGCCTTGAAAACTCTATACAGGGTCGCTATGGGTCAGAACTGACTCAACGGCACTTAACAACAACAACAGAGGGTAAATTGAAATCCGAAGCCCCATACTTGCAAATGTGAACCTGTCTGAAAATAGAATATTTGAAGATGTTATCAGTTACAGTAGCATGAGGTCATACTGGAGTTGGAGGGGTCCTAATCCCATCTGACTAAAATAACAAAACAAAACCAGTTGTCCTCGAGTCAATTCTGGCTCATAGCAACCTCCTGTGTACAGAGTATGTCGAAGAGTAGACAGGAGGTTGTCCATAGCATTTTTAAGACTTTGACCTTTTAGAAGCGGATCACCCTGCCTGTCTTCTGAAGTGCCTCTGGGTGTGTAACTGTTTCCACTACCCAGAGGCTCTTTTCTGTACGACTATGAAACTCTGGTAGCGTAGTGGTTACGAATCGGGCTGCGAACCTTAAGGTCAGCGGTTCGAAACTACCAGCTGCTCCGCGGGAGAAAGATGAGGCTTTCTACTCCCGTAAGGATTTACACCCTCGGAAACCCTGTACAGGGTCGCTATGGGTCGGAACCGACTCAACGGCACTTAACAACAACAACAACATGAAACCAAACCAAAACCCACCCATTGCCACTGAGTCAGTTCTGACTCAGAGCAATCCTATCTAGGGCTTCCAAGACTACAAATCTTTATGGGAGCAGACAGCCTCATCTTTCTCCCACAGAGTGGCTAGTGGGTTTGAACTGATAGCTTTTTGGTTAGCAGTTCAACGTATAACTCAAAGCAAAGAGAACTACAGACAGACAGAGGAAGGATGTAAGGTGACAATGCTATTACAAATCACAGGATGCCTGGAACCTGGGGGAGAGGCATAGAGCAGATTCTCCCTCAGAACCTCAGAAGAATCAATAGGGCTGATACCCTGATTTGGACTTCAAGCCTCCAAAATGTAAGATAATAAATTTATCTTCTTATAAGCATTCCAATTCATAGTATTTTGCTACAGTAGCCCTGGGAGCTCTGGTTGAATTAAGTTACTCAACATGCCCTGCAAAAGCAAAGGCCCACCTCCCAGGATTTTCCCAGACAGGCCTCACCTTTGAGGGCCTCTCAGCATTTGGGGATTGAGCTCGGCTTTGTCTAATGCAAGGGGTCCATCAGGATTCATTTCTCATGGAACAGCAATCAAAATAGAGGGAGGTGAAAATAATGTGGTATTCTTCCATGTAAACTATCCCTCATTTCACAATTAAAGTTTAAAAATATAAATAAACACAAAGGGAATAGAAGTAAATACTGTTGAATGATGATGCATAGAGGAGATTATAATCATTGCAATGAAACAATCAGTGTAAAACCGTTGTTCTCCCATATAAACTATCACTCAATTCACAATAAAAACTTAAAAACAAACAAACAAACAAAAATGGGATAGGCAAATAAAACAATTGTTAGGAAATATAAAAAATACTCATTAAATGTATTCCCATTATTAAAAAACTAAAAGAAATAAAACTTTGAAAAAGACAAAAAAAAAAAAAAAAGAGTGAACTAGGGAGGATTAATGAGGCAAGATAAGAAAGAGTAGGGAGATGTGGGAAAGGAGAAAGGTTAACAGAAGGAGAAGGTAGGTAAACTTGGTAAACATTCGACATTTCAATGTTCATTAACCTCAATACTAGTTTCTTATCCTGGGAAAGCAGTGACCTGATTAATTTCAAAATCATACCCTGAACTCTGTTCTGGGAACATGACCAAAAGTTATTTCCTAATAGGTATCTAAAAAGGGGTTAAAGGAACTGACTTCCTGCCAGCTCATGTAGTGTAATGTTCATCTTTCCTCTCCCTTGGTGGTAGTGGTTATGTGCTGTGGAGTCAGTTCCCTGTACAGGCTTTCTGAGGCTGCAAATCTTTACAGGAGCAGAAAGCCTCATCTTTCTCCTGCAAACAGCTGGTAGTTTTGAACTGCTGACCTAGCTTCTCGCAGCCCGATTCAGAACCACTACACTACCAGAGCTCCTTTCCTCTCCCTGGTAAGTCTCAAAGAAGCAAAATTTCTATTCAGTGATTTTCCAAATGAGCTGGGTTGTACCCTTTCAAAAAGTCTTAGGTTGTATCCTACCCAGAATTACAATGGCTTCTTGGAGAAGAAATGCAAAAATAAAAACAGCTTATGAATCTGAACTCTTTTGTCCTTACTCCAGAGCATGTCATAAACTCAACCCAATCCACCTTTGTCACCACAGGCTCGTGACAAAAGCTGCCTGTATTCTGCCTCTCCTTGTTGTTTGTTACCATCAAGTTTACTTCAACTCATTGAGATTGTATGAATAACAGAAGGAAAGTCACCCAGTCCTGTGCCATCTTCATGATTGTTGGTGCCTAAGTCCTTTGTTGCTCTGATAGCGTAGTGGTTACGAATGGGGCTGCGAACCTTAAGGTCAGCAGTTCGAAACTACCAGCAGCTCTGCATAAGAAAGATGAGGCTTTCTGCTCCTGTAAAGATTTACAGCCTTGGAAATCCTGTACAGGGTCGCTATGGGTCAGAACTGACTTGATGGCACTTAACAACACAAGTCCTTTGTTGTGGATATTGTATCAATTCATATCATCACAATGGATTGAAGAGTTCCTTCATTTTGGCTGGCCCTCTACTTTACCAGCCAAGATGTCCTTTTCTTGCTATTGTTCTTTCTTGATGATATGGCAAAAGCCACCAAATTGAAGTCTCCCCATCTTCCTTCCTGGGAACATTCTAACAATTGCTATCTAAATCCTGAGCAGATGAAGGATCTGCTTTGAGACTCACATCTGCCTTGGGCATACTTTTCATAGATTTATGTCTGTCTCTGAAACATGATTGTATTCATTTATTTTTTTTTTTACCATTTATTTCTGAATAAATATATTACATTAGCAATAAAATAGTAAAACTAAAAAATAAGATAAAATAAAATAATGGGGCAAAGTAAATTTGGGGTTAGTTCTTTCTGTAGTGTTCTTATTCTGAAAGCTCATAAGAAATAACACTTTGGGGAGGGTTGGTACACCGCACAGACACCCTCATGACCTCATTTCTCCCTGCAGTGTCTGTCATCTGTCACCTGACCACAATGTTGCATAACAAAGTCTAAGTCCTTGTTGCAATAGCGTTTTTCCTCCTCTTCTTATCTTTGTCTGTAGAAGCTACAACCCTAAAGGCCTAAAGAGGGTCACTAGGCACCCCTGCGATGGTGATGGCCAGGATCCATGATGAGGAGAGAGGGGTGTCCCCTGGCCACTAATTTGTCATAATAGTCTATTTGTCTGCTCCAGATAGCTGCCCTGAGGGAAGGTGGGTACCCGCGCCAGCCAGCTCAGAGCACTCACTCGTAAACACAGTGGGCAGCAGTGACAATCCACATGGGGGTGATGACAGAGCCCCCGCATAGGTGGTACCCCTGGAACTGAAGGCTGACCTGCCAGGGCCACTGTGAGAGCGAAGATATATTCCCGCCAACGATGCGTGAGGCGTAGCCTGACCTCAGACCACAGGCTGCAGAAAGAACAGACTGTGAGCACACCCAAGACTCTTTTTCAGACCCTTGCCCTTCCGTGCTTTACAACTACTGCTCCCACAGGGTTCACAGCCTGGAGAAAAACCAGGACTGTGAGGGGTAGGCTGGGGTAGGCCAGGAGCAGGTGACCAGATAGGCAGAGCATCATGGGGAGTCTTTCAGGAGAATAAAGTGTGGGCGGGTGGGTTGGGTAGTATTTCTGTGCAATAAGGAAGAGCACCAAAGTAAATGGCCCTCCCTGATCACTATGTAGGGGGTTGGCAATGGCCCTTCTCCTCAATACTCAGGGCTCCCTGGATGATGGCAGCTACCCTCTCCCCACCAGGAGCAGATGGGACCCTCCCACAGCTCCGTACTGATACAGTGCATCTGCCTGCCAGGACCCAGAAACCCCTGCCACCCTCACCTGAGTGCTGGCTGAGCCCCCTATGTGAACTTCCCAGGGAGTGAAGGAGAGGTGATAGAAGTGTCAGGCTAGTGAAGATGCCATGGACTGTCCTTTTTGCAGCCTCCTTCCCACCTGACAGGTAGGTCAAATGTCCTGGCTCCCAGCTAGAATAGGTGGGTGGACAGAGTTCCCACCCAGTACCCAGAGGGAAGGGTCAGAGCAGTCCATGGAGGTGAGAGAGAGTCTGTGGGCTTCTGGTCTTTTGTATGACTAGAACTCTTACCTGTGCACTTTAAGGTTACCACATGGCCTGAAGCACAGTCCTCCCTAAATGGAGAGAAAAAAAGTAGCCTTCATGGTAAACATCCTAGGCCTGAAAGAACAACAAACACTTTTCCTTATTTTTAAACTTAATCTTGTGATGAAAAACAAACTCTTCTCCTGTTCTTGAATGTAGATTCCAATTTTTATTTAACAAAAGCATGCCAGGAGAAAGAATTCACTCAATTTATTATAAAGCACTCAATTACCAGTGAAGTAATATGTCTGTGAAAGGCTGAGCAGTATTTCTAAGCTCCATAGCTTAGAGTCCTAGTGTGGTGCTGTGGGATCAGCACTGTACTGCTAATCACAAGGTTCAAACCCACCAGCCACTCCTTGGAAACTAAACAGGGTAACAATGAATCAGAACTGACTCAACAGCACTTACCTACAACAACAACATGGAGTCCTGGTATGGTGCCATAAGACAAACATTGGACTGCTAAAACAAGGTCAGTCCTTCAAACCCATCGGCTGCTCCTTGAAAACCCTATACAGGGTCACTGTGAGTCAGAACCGACTTGATGGCACAATAACATAGAGTTAATAGTAAACATGGTGATGAGTTATTTTAGAAACATAAACTGGGGTCCCTTGCACATCAGTTTTACCTCATGTCCAAGTAGTTCACATCCTGGTCTTGGAGGACGAGGACGTGGTGTGTTCCCTCCCTCTCTCCAGGATTCACACACATCAAAAAGGCTTCTTCCCAGAGCACTATGATGTGACTGCTCAGGAAATGGGACACTCACACTCCACACCGTGCCCCTAGGCATGTGCTTTTCTAATAAGGAAGGGAACCAGTTGAACCAGCTGCTATGGTATAGACTTGGAATTCATGGCGAGCCCTTGTGTGCCAGAGTGTTCAATGGATGATTTTTCTGAAGTCAATCACCAGGTCTTTTTTCCAATGTGCCTCTGGATGAACTCAAACCTCCAACCTTTTGATTAGCAATCAAGGAATCCTAAGGAAGGGAAGGGATTCCAAAATCTAAGTTTTGGGGAATTGGAGATAAAACCCATTCCATCAGACTGGGGTTTTAGGACAGCAGAGATGAACTGTCCCCCGTGGGTCGGTGTGGAGATTTTAGGGGACCTCACCACGAATGTTTTTTAATTACATGACAAACAGACAGGCAAGCTCGTAGTTTCCAGAGCAGAGAATACACACATCTGAGTTTTGGCCCAAGGTATCAGGAAGAAAGTATGAAACTTGGATTCAGTATATCACATTACCTGCCTTGGGCAATTCAGGGAGTCCCTCTAAGCTTCAGGTATTTTGCTAATTTCATTTAACAACTAAGGTACCTAGTTTGACTTGACCTTCCTTGTGCATTCTTGGGGGAAATGTACAGTGAATTATGAATATTAAAGCATTTTTTAAGCCACAAAGGTTAAGTTTGCATCTTTTCTTCCTTTCTGTGGAATCCTGGTGAAGCTGAGCACAGAACTACAAATGCAGCAGACAGCTGACTAACCCACCTACCTCACGTAGACAGAGTGATGCAGAGCTGTCACCTTGTCATCAGATAAGAGATGATTGATGGCTGCAAAGTCCTCCTGGAACTTCTCCTCCAGCAAGTCCATTCGGAGGTGGTCTGAGCTTACATAGCTACAAGCATGTTGGAAACACACATCCACTGGGTTAGCTCTACTCTGTGCTACAAATCAATCGATCCTCAACTCTCAATCTTTCTGATGTCACACTTGGGGAACATTTTATCACCTACACCATCAATGACCCACTTTTGCCAATAGAATGAAATCCACACACCTTAACAAGGCATTCCAGACCTTGTGTAGCCCCATCCCCACAGCCTGCCCACCCACCAAAGGCTCCAGCCACATGGGAGGGAGGGCCAATGCCTGATGTCATTGACTGACTGGGTCTGCTTTGATGTGCTCAACAAGCCAAGAAGAGTGCTGAACACAAAACACAGTCAGGCATTGTTGGGTGGGCACCAAAGTGAGGACTTGAGAACAATGCATTAAGGAGGAAGAGAGGTTTCCCTAGTCTGCCCTTAGCTGGTTTGGGTTCCCATTGGAGACAGGTGAACACATAAGAGGAATGGGGTAGGGGACACCAGGAGCAAGTAAATGGTTAAAGTTCCAGAAAGCAAGTCTTCTGGAGAACAATGGCCAAGGGGGTGCAACTTAAATGAAATCAAGTGTTTGAAGAGCTGGGAGATGGAATATAATGAATGAACAGTCATATTTCCCTTTGTATATGGAAAGAACAAAACAAAGCCATTGGTTTGCTTTGCTCACTAACATACCAGCTTATCAGGCAGGATTTCATCAGATACTGACAAATACTCTGGGGGCACGTATACGTGGAATATAACGTAAAGCCAACTTGAAGTTTTGAGAAAAATGTAATCAAAGCTAGAGGCAATGACCTCCCCAACCTGGGAATTGCTCAACAGACTGATAGGGTAGGTGAAAGAGCCAATTGTTACTAGGGTGGAGAGATCCTGATGCAGGTGGGCAGGGTGGCAGGTGAGGGAAATGATGGAACACAATGGTTAGCTGTTGTTAGCTCCTATGCTGCCATGACTGGTTGCAGATTGAACCATTGTGGTGTTCACTGGCTGATTTTTCATTCACTTATTTTGGGAAATAGATTGCTTTCTTCCTAGTCCATCAAAGTCTGGAAGCTCCACTGAAACCTATTCAGCATCATAGCAACACACAAGCCCCCACTGGCTGATGGGTGCGAACTACACATGTGGTACGTTGACATGGATTCCAGCCCAGATCTCCTGCATGGAAAACAAGAATTTTACCACTAAACCACTAGTGCTTCCTGGTGAAATGCAAATTCAGCAATTGTTATAGTTGCTAAGTGCCTTCAAGTCAGTTCCGACTCACATCGATCGCATGTAGGGTTTCCAAGGAGTGGCTGGTGGGTTTGAATCACCGATCTTAGCAGTTCAAACCAACCCTGCGGTCCAGTGCTGTACCCTGCAGTGTCACACCAGGACTCCGAATGCAGTAACTGGGTGCCTTCTAAATTGTCATTGTCTCAAAGTAGTAACTATCACTATCACAACCCCAAATTCTTACAGGTTTTCCTATGTGCCGGTCTCATTTCTGTACTTTCTAAGGTCACTTAAGTCTTGTGATGACCCTGGAAAGCATGTACTGTTATTATTCCTATTTCATAAGGGAGGAAACTGAGGCATGAGTTACATAAATTGCTTAAACTTACACTGAGATTTGAAGCCAGGCAATCTGACTTGACAGCCCATCTTTGTTTTTTTTTTAGATACAGATATCTGGAGTAGAGCAGAGAAGACTAAAGAAGGGTTTTAAAGAGAATTAAGACGAATTAAGAATCAAGCAAAAATACAGACGTAAATCTTAGAAATTCCAGTGAAGGACAGGGAGGGAAAGAATGCCTTTATAAGAATCGGGTTCATTGGGAGTCAAGGCTGAATTGATGGAATCAAAAAGTACAGTAAAGAAAAAGGGCAATGTTCAGGTCACAGGCTGGAGAAATGTCATTGTCCAGACTCCTTACCCATCATCCTTTGCTATTGAGTCATCCCCTAACTCATGGCAACCCCATGTGATGCAGAGGAGAATTGAGCACCATAGAATTTTCTTGGGCGTCTTGGTGTGGCACTGTAGGATAATCACTGGATGGCCAACTGCAAGGTCAGCAGTTCAAACATACCAGTGGCTCCTCAGAAACCCTACACAGGTTTGCTATGAGTCACAGCCAACTCAACAGCACTTACTTTTTATAGAAGCAGTTTGCCAGGCCTTTCTGCTGCAGCACCTCTGGATAAACTCAAGCTTTCAACCTTTCAGTTAGCAGCTGAGTATACTAGTCATTTGTACCAAGGAATGTAAGTATAGTGATGGTGAGGTTGTTAGGAGCCATGAAGTCAATTTTTTACTGAATGTGACAAAGCAGAATTGCCTCATAGGGTTGTCCAAGCTGTAATCTTTACTGGAACAGATTGCCACCCTTTCTGTCACGGAGCCACTGGGTGGCTTCTGACAGCATTTTGGCTAGCAACTGAGTGCTTTGTGCCACCAGGGCTCTTTAAATGTAAAGGTGTTAGTGTTGTTATGTATCACTGACTCAGTTCCAATTCACAGTGACCTCATGGAAATGTTGCCCAGTCCTGAACCATCCTCGTAATTGCTACTATACTTGAACCCATTTCTTCAGTCACTGAGTCAGTCCATCTTGGTGAGGGTCTGATGTCCTTCTCCAGGGACTGGTGCCTCCAGGTCATATGTCTGAAGTATGATAAATGAAGTCTTGCCATCCTGGCTTCCATGGAGCATTCTGACTAAACATCTTCTAAGACAGACTTGGTCATTCTTCTGGCAATATATGCAATATTCTTTGCTAGTACTATAATTCAAATACATCAATTCTTGTTTGGTTTCCTTTTTCATTTTGCATGTATATGAAGTGATTGAAAATACCATGACTTGGGTCAGGTGCACTTTAATCTTCAAAGTGACTTGTTTGTTTTTTAATATTTTAAAGAGGTCTTTTACAACAGCTGTGCTCGATGCGATACGTATTTCTCCCTTGGGCATTTTAAAGGTAGAAAGAAATCTCTTATCAAATGGTCAGAGTGGAAGGAAGAGAGACCAGAAAGCTGCTCAAACTACTGCATGGCCTTAACTGCTTCCTTCCCAGATAGGATGGGAATCTTTGCCCCAGATTTGCTGGTTGAGGGAGAGGTATTGAATTGAGCTATTCTGCATATAGAGCAAAGGCCTAAGGATTAAGAAGAGGTTGTACTCCAGGAGGGAGCAGACAAAGAAAGAGAACAGTGCCCCCTAATGGTAAATCAGAGGAAGAGGCTTAGCAGGGAACTGAAATGCCTAATGAGGAATGTTTTAGCTGTAAATAGCAGTGGTATTTGGTGTGAACAGCCTTCTCCTTATATACCAGAAACCAAAACCCACTGCCACCGAGTCAATGCCAACTCATAGTGACACTGTGTAGGTTTTCCAAGGCTGCAAATCTTTATAGGAACAGAAAGCCACATCTTTCTTCCATGGAGTGGCTGGTGGGTTTAAACTGCCAAACTTATGGTTAGTTATCCAGTGCTTATCCTAAAGAACCACCAATCGAAATTACAAAAAGCATTTGTGTGAGTGATTCCTGAATCCAGGTTGGTATGGGGAGAGAAAGAGGCAGATCTCAGGGATAGAGATTTGAGGGAATTTGGATTTACGCTTGGAGAAAAAGAGCTGAAAATATGATGCATTGAATATGAAAAATAGAATTCGGGATTCAAATGTAACTTTAATAGCCCTGTTTCCCTGGGTGCAAACAGGGAAGCATTTCCACATTCATTTTTCATCACCCTTGCTCTGTTCCTAAGATGATGTGAGAACTCAAAGAACTTGCCTGCTTTGAGCTCTGAGAATCAAGAGCAAAGGGAAGTAAGGATGTTGTTATGGATCTCCATGGATGAATGGAAGCCATGGAAGTAAGAGGGTCCAAGGAAGGGGTCAGGGAAGAGGAGGAGGCCTGTGTCAGGACAACAATGCATTGACCCAGTGCAAAAAGTCATACAGACAACACCAAGAACTGAAAAGTGAAAAATTCATTACAATAGCTGTTTCTTCTACATGTTGCTACACCATTGTTTGTGTGCTTCCATTACAATGCTAACTTTCCATAACTGATTCATTGTGGTAGAGAGGCCTTAGAATAATCAAGCAATTGTGATCAAAAGGGCAACATTTCTGCAAGGATTAAGTTCAAAGGCTTAGGAAAGAAGGAGGAATGGAAACAGGAAACATAGGGAGGAAGTGGAGTAATTGGTGTTACACTGTGGGAACTACAATCAATGAGAAGAAACAAAATGTGTGTGAATTGTTGAATGGAAAACTGATCTACTCCATAAACCCTCACCTAATTCACAATAAAAAGGTTTTGGATCTGCTATGTGGTTACGAATTGGGCTGCGAACCTTAAGGTCAGCGGTTCGAAACTACCAGCCGCTCCGTGGGAGAAAGATGAGGCTTTCAACTCCCGTAAAGATTT